GTATTGCATACATGTCATTCTTTCTTGGATCAATCTCATAAAAAATACAAATACAAAGTAGAGAATGACCATCAATTTATTACTCTAATCTGTAAAAAGTGAGGCATAAATCAGTAGAAAACTGATGTGTTATTTCGTATAGACCACCAGTTTATTTTTTAGGTTGAAGTTTTCCAACTGAAGAAAGTAGAAAATGAAATTGATGAGCGATTAAATAGTACAATCAAACCTTCTCTTTGACACTACTCTGTTTCAAGTCGATAGTGTTTGACATGGATGAACTTGATTGGATAATGGTAAGAGTTGTAGCAGGAAGCTATAAACCATACCAAGATCAATAATACTGTCCAAAAATGTGATCATCAGTGTGCAAAAAATAGGGAATCAATTATACAGTTCAAAAATGTGATCATCAGTGTGCAAAAAATAGGGAATCTTAAAAAAATGGAGTTCAAATTTGAGAAGGATCTTCAGCTGTCACCCAACCGCTACCGCCGGAAGAGGTGCAGGACCAGCCAACCCCACATATGGACGCAATGGTCAACGGCCAGACCTCCCAAACGCACCGTTACTTCAACAGAACCATCTCACTTCTCAAGCTCATCGTCTCCTACTGTCGAATGCCAAGATGTTTGTCTGCCTATTTGGTATTGGAGTTGCAGGGAGTGCCTAATTTTTATGTATCTAGCTTGCTTCACTTTTCTTCAGGTTCTAGCTCACAACTAAGTAATCTAATGCAGAAAGTTGATTAGTGTGTTATCTCTGCTCATATGATTTTCATAACCAGACTTTTACATAATGCTACATTTTTTGAATACTGCATGAGATGATTCTTTTGAAGACGCCGGGCACACGGAGCACCTCTGCCTTGCCATGGTGCTAAAAAACTGCCGATGGTGCTCTAATCTGCAACACCTCACTACTAATCTTGGAAACAATGCCTCTACTCCTCTACCTAGAAAAAATCTTCCTAATTAAAATCCCAATCCAGATAAAAAAGGAATGTCGTTCTGGATTTGGAACGAAGGAAGGGTTCTTGGATCCAGGAGAACAAAAGGCAGACGAACCACATGTGTTCATTTAGCTGATGAGAAGATGAGATAAAGGGAGTAGTACCTACTGAGCAGAAGCGCGGCGGCCATACGGCGGCTCGCTTAGGGAGGCCGGTTCCACCAGCTGTGCCACCAAGTCATGGTGGTATCGGCCGCTCAAGTTCAAGGTTGGGGTAGGAGGGCAAGCGTGTTGCCATGGCGCTGGTCTGGGTCGCTAGGAAGTGTAAAGGAAAAAGTTAAAACCCTTGAAATTTATCCACTGAAAATTAGTATACATACATACAATAGGGAGTTAAAGTCCAAAAAAGTGATAAAAAATGTAATAAAAAATGCATAGTTGAACAGTTTCTGAAATCTCTAGCAGTTGACTTGTTCGGCCATATGAAAATACATGTTAGTAGAATACAAAACACACAATGCTTGAACAGAAGGTAAAATTAACACCAAAAATCCAGTAAGCAGATATTGCAAGTCACTTGTGAATGAACTGCCAAATATACCTGTGAAGGGTGTATTTGCTGAGCATTGAACATAATGCCATGGTCTAAACTTTTAGATCACTAAATGCTGACTTGCATAATGTGGCAACCATAGTAGATCCAGCATAATAATATTTTTCAAGGACACTCATATCTTCCGTAGGCAAGTCACATGACCTACAGATGCAATATATTGTGTGTGTGCAAGTCATATAACTGAAAGAGGTAATATATTGTACATATAAGTAAAAGTTGACTGCATGCTAAATGTGAGGAAAAAAGAATCAATGATTACACATGAGCATAAAATGGAATTTGCCTTCCCTTGCAACCTGCTTGGATTTTCATCGAGCGCCTTGTATGCATGTACACAAAAAAAATCTGCCAGTGCAACACAAAGATGGGAAATTTCAGGTATTATATCAAACAAAGGAATGCATAAGAGAGGAGAGCAGGCTAATCAGGAGGGAGAGAGAGTACCTGAAAGAAAGGGATAGAGGTAGGAAAATTGGGGTGATGAAACAGAGCCCAGTCAGTGGACGGGGCATGGCTTCTCCTTCCTCTCATCTCCTTCACATCATCCCTCTCTCTATCTGCTGCGGGTACAGGAGGATCTGGCAGCGAGAGTGGATGTAAGAACGGGAACTGGGAGAGAAAGAGAGAGACCTGGACGGAGTGGATAGATGGGGGCGGGGAGGCGCCAGCTCCTTCCGTTGCGGGTTCGTCGTCGTCGCCGGGGAGCACGGCGGCGAGCACCCCGAGCACCAGTGCGGCCTGCTTGGCGGGGATCTGCAGCGCCTCCGCCTGCTACTGCTGCTCCCCGCCGCCGCCCCCGTCATGCTCCTCGTCCTCCCTCCTCTGCTGCTGGTCGTCATGGGGGAGGGGGGCGCTCTGCTGCGGCGGATCTGGCTGCCGATGACGCCGTTCGAGGCGGTGGGTGGTGGCGGCGGCGATGTGGGTGGGAGGGAGGAGGCACGCGGGAGGGAGGGGGAGGGGAGAGGAGGCGCGCGGGAGGGAAGAGGAGGCGGCGGCGAGGCGGGAGGAGCTGGGCGCGGGGGAGGCGCGGGGCAAAGGCGCGAGCGAGGGAGGAGGGAGGCGGCTGCGTGGGAGGGAGGGAGGGAGGCGGCTGCAGGAGCGAGCGAGGGAGGAGGCATCTAGGTCTTCGTCAAATGAGCAGCCCCCTTTTATACCCCCACCATGCGAAATGACCAAAATGCCCTGGTGGGGGCATGGTATTTACATTCTGCTGCCATTACTATTCATTTCAGCAGTGTTTCTTCCAGATCCGACGGCCCAGATCCTCCCACCTCTCGATCCAACGGCCCAAAACCCATCAAGCATCACGATCCGACGGCCCACGATCGCTGAACTCTAAGGAGCCTTGTAGGAACATCCTTCTCTTGTCTCTTGATAGTACAACATATGATTCTGATCTTTGCTAGCTAGGACAACACACATGGTACGTGGCACACCGGCCGGCCGGGCGTAAAATGACAACCGAATCCACGCGACCAACGGTATGTCTGCCATGACAAGACCCTCCAGAAATCATCTTATCTTGCATGCATTTTGTCATTCATCTATGACGTGTTTGTTTGCCTGAGTTAGGGCCAATCAAGCCCGCGTGATGCAACTTTGGACCGTTTGGTAGCCTGCCTCACAAGCAAATTTTAGTTCGCATGATGTTTAAAGCACCCTCCTGTAGACCTGTTAGGAACGATCGATTCGGCTGTTTTTCATGAGGCAGGCCGAGCGATGCAAAAGAGCGTACATGGGTGGCTTGAGCGAGTCAACCTGGTGCGGCATGGTACTTGGTGTACATGAGGTTGCATCGTGATTTGTTGGGTTAACTTCTAATCTTCTTTATTTATTAAACTATTTTAATCTATACAACAGTGCTTGGATTTGAGATAAGGTCTACACGAAAAACGATGCACATCGATGTTGCCGTTTCATTCAGATGATCGGTTCTCCCAGTTTCGTTCACTGTAAATGTTCAATTCCGTGTTTATGTTTGGAGCCATTTTGAACGAATTCGTCAAATTTGTCGCACATGGTCGACCATTTGGAATTTCCTCTGACCAGTAGCTTTATCGTGTAAATGTTCAATTTTGTGTTCATGTTTGAAGCTATTTTGGATGAATTTTGCCAGATTAGTCGCACATGGTGGACCGTTTGGAATTTCCACTGACCGGTAGCTTTATCTCGCTGTTTCATATGACTTTCTTGTTGTACGTTTTTCGTTTCAACGGTCGTAGATGAGTATATGTGTATCTCCCTATTTTACTGTACTAAGGTGTTCATGTTATGGTTTAGAAATTCGAAGTGACTACTTTCTGTTCTCACTCTTATTCGTCAACGTTGCCGCATGGAAACCATGTCGTTCCCGCTGTCGCGATCACCATCGGCGTCGTTCCTCCCGCCCCTCCTCGCCCGTGGCCTACTGGACTAACGTCACCATCACACGCATACTGCACTTCTCCTCCTAGTCCTCTGCCTCGACACCCTCCTCCTCGTCCCTTCGCACGCACTTCCCTTGCAGCCACAACGCTAGCAACGTTGTCGCCATCGGCGTCGTTCCTCCCCCCTCCCCGGCCCTCGCCCGTGGCCTACTAGACTAACATCGCCATCACACTCATACTGCACTTCTCCTCCTAGTCCTATGCCTCGACACCCTCCTCCTCATCCCTTCGCGTGCACTTCCCTTGTGACCATAGCACTGCAACTGGTTCGCCACGCCGTCAACAGGATCGCTCGCCTACGACTGCATGCTCGTCAAGCTGAACGTGGAGCCGCAACCACCGTCCAACCCAGTTGCCGAGTACTTTGTGTGTCATATGTAGCTCTTAACCCTTAATCATGTCCGACTTGCAAAAAAAAACCCTTAATAATGTCCAGTGTATGCGAGAGAAAAAGCATATACGCAGGCCACCAAACGTCAAAGAAAATTTGCTTCAATAATGCAGCCAGCCGGCAAGCAAGCTACATGGTATGCATGCACCCAAACACACCCCTATCTTCTTGCCACCTCGCTCACTCAAGCAAAGGCCTTGTGATGGAAAGAAATGCCGTAAATTTGTGCACGTAGCTCAATTGATTCATTCATCTCCTACCTTAATATTATTACGGAGAGAGACTCATCATATCTAAGCAAGTGCTACGGTAGTTATCTACTACCTCCGTCCGAAAATACTTGTCATCAAAACAATAAAAGGAAATGTATCTAGATGTATATTAGTTGTAGATACATCCTTTTTTATCCATTTTGATGACAAGTATTTCCGGACGGAGAGAATACTTGCTTAATTTTACAAGAAATCTTACACAGTACAGTACATACGTAGTTAATAATGAGAGCTCCAATGCTAGTCAAGTCATCTAGTAGACTAGCTAACTAGCTTGGAGAATCCATCCATTGTACTAAGTGGAATGGAGCTGCTGCTGCTACAGTCCACGGCCGCCGCGCCAATCACGGTGGAGGGGCCGAGCGGCACCTCTGTTCATGCTGCTGCTTCTGCTGGAGGCTAGTAGCAGTGCTCCTACCGCTCCGGCGGTCGGGGACGGCTAACTGCGCCGCCTTGGCCTGACGATCCTGCAAGCCAACAATGCAATACGTACGCAATCATCGTAATGCTTCGAGTAGCTAGCACGCAATAATCAAACTAGTAACTAAATGACAACGACAGATCGAGAGGATAGATACGTACGTTGATGAAGTCCTTCTCGCACTGGATGAGCATCTTGTTCTCCCGACGCAGCTGCTCCAGCTCCAGCTCCAGCTCGTTGGTGTAGGCCTGCTTCCGCGCCCGCGACCGCGCCGCCGACTCCCGGTTCTTGATCATCCGACGCTGCCGCCGGTCGCCACCCACCGCGGCCGGCTGCAGGACGGCTGATCTCCTCCTACTGTTGTTGCCTCCGGAGAGAGAGAAGCCGAAGTGGACAGGGTCGTCGCCGGAGCTGGCGGCCGAGGTGGCGCCCCCGAGGTTGGTGAACTCGAGGCTGAGCGCCGTGTGAGGAGGTGGAGGAGGCGGCGTGCGGGGCGGCTGCGGCACCGAGTTGGCGCCGGCGAGGTAGTCCTGCAGGTACACGGCGCCGCGGTAGGGATGAGCGGCCGGCGAGTGGAGGTGGTACGACTGTAGCGCCACCGGGGTGGAGCACAGCGACATGTCCTTCCACAGCTCATCCATGGATGATCCTACTGCTGCTGCTGCTGCTGCTACCTAGTCTGGTAGTTTGGAACAGTAGATCCTCCTTGAGTTGGGTGGATGTGAGATGGAAGCAAGTCAAATGTAGCTAGGCACGCGAGCAGAGCAGAACCGCTAGCAATAGCAATGGCATAGCCTTGGTCGATGGATAGATGATGTTGCTCTCCCTTTATAGCAAGGCGTCTCCTCCATCCATCCATCCATGGTGCACACGTACGACCGTTGCAACTTTACTTTTATATAAGTTTTGTTTATGCAAACGCAAGGAAAACAGAGAATACTTTTAACATGACTTTAGTCTTTAGCTAGGGAGGAATCGGGCCTACTGCCCATGCACACCGTTGGTACTCTTCCTACACTGTTCCTCGACAGCGAGCTAGCCAGCATACCCCGAGCTGACTCCAGTCCTTCCTCTACTACCCACAGTCAAGTGCAATGGCCGGCTATACATAATAAATCCCACGCTTGTACACTATTATGTAGTACAGTAGGACCGAGTAGTCACCATTGGTGAGTGCAGCCTTAGAAAAAATTCAAAAAACACATTTTGTAGTTTTTTTTTGAAAAAAACTACATGTTGACATATGGATGTGTATTATATGTGCGAATTATTTTATGAGAAATACATTGACATGCGAGCTACACAAAAATGATAAATTGCGGTTTTGAAAACAGTGACCAGTGCATATACTGTTTTCTAAAAGACCAGATACTTTTTCATTTTTTTTGTAGCTCGCGTGTCGATGGTTTTTCTCATGAAAGTTTACACACATGTAGTATATATTTATATGTCAGTATGTAATTTTTTCTCAGAATATTTTGAAACTTTCAAATGTGATTTTTGAAATTTTCAAAACAACATGTTTTCTGCCATTTGATAGACTTTTATACTCAAACATATTGAACATATATTAGGTGATCAAAATTTGTGTCACACTCACACTCCACCACAAATAAAAGATTCTCCACAGTTTTCAAGTCACAATTACAGTTTGTTAGCTAAACATCTGGTTAATTTAATTAAGCTTGCCTAACTTGTTGTGTGCCATGTACCAATCCATGCTTAGTATATCAACCAGACACAAACTAGAAGTTGCCGTACGATGCCATTTTGCTCATACCTAGCAGTTGCGAAGATGTATGGGCAACAAAGTCATGACAGTGAATTATATAATATGAAAACCATCAATAGCCGGTGCAAAAATGAAGAGTGGATATCAGTTTTCACCCTCCTACTTTCCTATTTTTGACAGTAACTACCCCATTTAACATTTTTTTCATCTGAACTTTAACCTTATTTATATTTGGTTTGTAATTAATTAGAACTTGGTTCATAATTAAATATTATAAATATTTAGATATCCACTAGAATAACCAAAGTTTTGTTCAAATTTTGAAACTTGGACATACATATAGGAGTAGATGTGATGTACTCCCTCTGGTTGGGTTTATAAGTCGGGCATAGTTTTTAGGTCTTCGGTTGTACTCATAAACACATGTATAATAATATCACAAAAGTTGTATATTTAGAAACTTCATTTGATAACGAATCTAAATATGTATCTTTTCCATAAAAAAGGGTTTTGCTTTGTTACACCCACATAGAAAAGTTTACGGATTTCGATATAGATAAAAGGTGAAGATTAGAAGATACCCCTTCAATCAAAAAGATTAGATTGTTCACTCTTGTTGAATGCATTGGGAGAATGTGAATGATAATTTTTATTTATTTGAATAGTTTGGATTGGTTATCACATGTGTCACGTGGTAATAGGAATTAGAATTAGTTGATCGTGAATGTATGAGAATAACTTATATTATGAATCGGAGGGAGTACATGTTTTTTTTTGCGGGAGGAGGGAGTACATATACACATCCATCAATTTTTTGCATATATAGCTAGACACATGCACAGTGGTGGCGGGTGTGCATCTCAATCTGATGCACTATTTCAACCATGCACCTAAATGTAGCAAATTCGAGGTAGCAATAATCAGAGAGATAGCAATGTGTCCCTCAAAAAGGAAAGAGAAAACAGAGTGCGGTGCAGAGGAGGCCCTAAAAATGATGGATGTGTGCATCTGCGCTTTTTCTGTCTGGACCATATATGGAGAAGCAGCGGCATATTTTGCCCCTTGCAGTGCAGTGCAGTGCTAGGTGGAGCTGGAGCTGGAGCTGGGCCAATAAAAACCGGCGAATTTGCATGCATGCATGTACGTATGGTAAGCTCCACATTTCCTTTTTCATGTAGATATATCATGCATACCACAGATGTAGACAGGGATAGTTGTGTATAAATATTTATCTTCGTGCGTGCAATACACTTGCTACAGTGGATCGATGTCACACAGTGCTACAGGTAGTTTGGTGCTAGCATGGAGATCTAGGGCTCGACCGGTGGAGGAAGGGAGGGAGATGTGCCAATCTATGTATGGTCACTGTTGATGCGTCGTCCAATAGATTTGCTGCTGCTGTCACGAGTAGGTACACGCCTATATTTATGTATATATGGGTAGCTCCATATGCAAGGGGTGGGAGAGGGTACATGGTAGCTACAGTGGGTAGTACAAGCTAGCTTGTGTAAGGAGGAATAGGGCACAGCAGCTGCTGTAGATAGCAGACGACTAGTACGTGTGCGCAACCAAGACCGGCGTCGTCGTCGTCCGTGTTTGCTGGCTTTGTTGTCACCATCATCGTCGTGGGCGTACATATACCGGTATAATACACTAGGTAGTACGAGTGGCAGTAGATGTACTTTTCTTTTTTGAAAAGGCATTGCCTAGCTTTGGTTTGCCTACCTTTGCTAGCTTTGGCTGGTCTTAGGCCAACTCTAACGCCCGATCACATCCTGTCCACACGCGTTTGTTCGGAAATAAATGGACAAAGCAGGTTTTTCAAAACACGGCTGTAAACGGACCGTCATCCGTTTTCTGTCCGCTTTTGAACCATTTCTGGTCCAAATTTGAGCCGAGTTTGCGGCCGAATTGACAGCACGCGAACGAGTGGGACGCACATCCTTGTCCTCCACTGGCCCATCCGTCGGTGGCACAGGCGGCCACTTTCCCTTTAAAACTCTCCCGCGCCCCGCCCTCCACTCTCCCGCGCCATGGCCTTCCCCCTCCCTCCATACACCATTACCGACGATGCGAATCCCGGCGACCCACCACCTGCCTCTCGGCCCATGGCGAAGAAAAAAAAAGGTCTATGAAGAAGCCTCTGGCGGAGCTTACGCCGGCGGAGGCCGCCAAGCTCGACAAAGAATCGACCAAGAAGAGGGACCGACGAGCTATCGAAAAGGAGAAGAAGGCCGCCGCGCAATACGCTTCCAAGTGTGCCCTGCGGCATACGATGCAGCACCAGGCCGACATCGACGACAAGGAGTCTATCATCTCCAAGGCGCACGCTCTCCTCATGATGGGTATGGCCCGCCCCACACCGGCCGATCTCTCGGCCGCTGCCATGGCCGCGGCCAACACAGGCTCCTCAGCCCATCGACCGCTGTAGCACCGTTTCCCGAGCTCGTCCGTCTCACACAACCCGCCGGATTTTCGTGCTCCGCCGCCGCACGGCCATAGGCAGACACGATTCTCTATGTCGCCGGACTGCGTGGTGGTCGATCCGACCACGTCCGTAGGCGTCATCGGTCTCAACATCACGCCGGGGTACAGTGGCGATGGCCATTGTGAAGACGACGCGCAAAGAAAGTAGCCCCGGTCGTTCGAGTCGGCTCACATGGCCGGCGCCCTCAAGGTGTTCGATGAAATGCCACGGCCGACGTAGTCGTCGACGGTCGACGACCCTTACTACTCCTCGTTCATGCACAACATCATCTTCGATGGCCGTGGTGAGGCATTCCACGTCGACGGCCAAGAGTAACCTTTTGATGCCGATGCGACCCAAAGCTAGACATCGAGGAGGCCGCTCAACTCAAGAAGCTAGAGATCGAGGCCACCAATGCCGACACAAAAGCCAAGGAGGTGGTACTAGCGTTGATGATCGTCAATAAGAACAACATGTCACCAGAGAGGAAGGCTTGGTTCACGAACCGGTAGAACGAGATGTTCGCCCGGGACGGCATGATCTAGGTGACACCTCAGCTGCGATGGCCGCGATGGCGGTCCTATTTGAAGGCTGGCTCCTATGCCGGCGACAAAACTTGTCCCTTTTGAAGGCTATCTCGTGTGCCGTCCACTAACGTTGTTGCCGGCATGAAACATGTCCTTTTTTAAGGCTGGCTCCTGTGCTGGTCGCTGTCTTTGTTGCCGGCATCAGACTATAGGCCGCCGGCTGTGTTGCCGGCCAACGTGAACTTGTGCGAACCACGGCCGCGGCTTAAATCCTTGGTTTCTCACTTTTCCATGCACGCGGACAAGATGCGGCCAAAGATGCGTCCGCACGTTGGCCTCCCGGCCGACAGATCCAAAAAACCAGGCGAACACAGCCTCTTTACCACCTCAAATGGAGGAAAAGCGGACAAAACGAACATCGTTCGGGGTCGCGCGTTGGAGTTGGCTCATAGTCTCGTCTCATCTCACTCACTCACTCACTGCGTCACTCACCGAGACGTTGCGTCGCCCATCCAGCCAGCCATACGCACGTACACCTTTTCTTTATCAGTAAGTACGTACTTGTACGTACCCGGGGATACACACACGCAAGCACACTGGTACTGTATCCATCCCAGGAACGCATACGGTGCGGTCGATGAGTGAGTAAAGCACAAACGCAAGCACGAGCACGCATGTCGGGTCAGGCGGTGACATTGACGTGGCAGGGGGCTTTTCCTCTGCCCACGCTGCCCCAGTGACGTGTGCCTGCCACCAGAGCAGGGACGCCCACGTGTCGAACTTGCAATGGATCCATTTGCTCTCTCGCATGCGCACTCTGCCTGGTGTCGCACCAGCAAGCAGTAGAGGGCAGCGGCAGAGGCTGCAGTCACCTCGGCCTGTCAATTGCGCATTGGCTCCATCCCCACCGATCGT